GCTTGCTTGCCGGCTGTGAGTCGAGCCAGGCCCAGAGAGGACAGGGTATCAGAGGATGGGGTTGTTTTCCAAGGCAGCCAAAAAGGGATTTGTTTCCTTTTATCTCCTTTTACCAAACCTGTTGGGAGTCCCAGCTGAAATTGAGACACCCAAATTCTTGGGAAAGACCAATGTTTATTTCTTTTTTGTGGTGCGGCTTCCAAAGCGTCATCCTACTCTACCTGACCAGAGGGTCCACGTACCCGGGCTCAGAAGAATTAATCCACACACCTCTGTGCAAACTACTATACTTGAGCCTTCCTTCCGGGCTTGGGAGCAAACATGTTAATGCCGGAGTAATCAACAGGCTTATTAGTAGGGGGGTCGATGCGTGTAGTGGGGATTCAGACCACCTTTGTAGGGGAACACCTCCTACGGGGGTTCTACTTGGATCTGGTGATCCGGGGTCACCATTTGTCATGTACTGGGACTTTCTGGGCATGAGGCATGGGCCTTACACACTCGTTGCCGCTATTTCATGCCACGATGCCCCCGCGCAGCTTCGGGTCAAACCGCACCTGCACCGAAAAAATAAAAATAAAAAAGTAAGGGGGAGCGCATGTGCTATGGTCCTCACCACAGCCACTGCGGAATGAGCAAGTCTGGTTGCCTTTCGACTTCTTGTGTCGTGAAAATCGAGACACCCCAGAAAGTGTACAACCTTGCTATTGATAGGATCCCATTGTTTGCCCAATTCATTGGAGTTAAAGGGGTAGAACTTTGACTGACCCCAAGAGCCTTGTGATGAAGGCAACACCTTTATCATGCGGGGTTGGCCATGTTTCCGCTTTGCCACAATATGCTTCTCTAAGACTGGCTTGAACACTTTTGCTGAACTTTTTGGACACCCAGCGAACGCCAACTTTTTTGAGCCCATCACTCCAAAAGGAAGCCATCAACTTGCACTCACTTGTGCAAAGCCGACCTTCTGACCTTTTGGCGTTCGTTTGTTGAAGGTCAACCTTGTATTTCCAGGTCCTTCTTTCCGGAAGTGAGTGCAACGTTAAGCCGTTGAGACGAAATCTCCAGGCCCCCCCTTCGCACTTGCCAACACGAGCCATGGAGTCCCCGCGCTCGCTGCTCCACACGGCTTCCGGCACCATGCTGGCGGAGTCTGAGGAGGGTCATGGGAGTCCGGACGTTTGGCTTTTAACATAACGGTTTTTGTAGCATGTGGCGTCCCAAAGGAATGCTGCAAAAACACTCAACTTGCAAGTTGGCATCATCGGATAGGGTGTTGAAGGTAAGATGTCATGCATTTATATACCACTAGTGTAAGTGGTACGTGGTGGTTTGCAATCTGATATTTACGGTATGTAAGAATCCATGCCCCCAACACCAAATTGCTCTTCAACTTGGCGCTGGGAAATAGGTTACTCACCAAAGTCCGACGTCAGTGGGGGATACAACTACAACACATTGCGCTTGTGGCTTACATCCGCGAGCCCCACTTCCCTACTTGCTTAGATGGCCTGGTCAGCCAAGTGGTGCATTTAGCTCTAGGGTTCGGGAGTTAGTAACCCTGGTAAGGGATGTCTCGATGTCAATTTTGGGTGAATCAGAATGAGGACTGTACTCATTCGGGGTAGGAAAGGGACTTTTGGTGGGAATTATGCAAGCCATTTTTTTAGGGGGAATCCTCTAAGTACGGCGCACGTTCGTTTTTAAATGAGATGTGGAACTCCTTCACCACTGTTTGTAGGGTTTCCCGTCCAACTATCAACTATCCCAAGCAAACAGTTCAGTACGAGAAGCCCTAAGTTTAGCGTCTCGGGTCGGGCGGGACCTTGAGGTGTCCCATGGAATTGGTTTAGGCGAGGTATCTTCAGCTTGAGTCCTCCCTACATATCCATCGATGCAGTCCTCGGGGCTTCACAGGTTCTAGTCCGGACAAAATGAGAACTGCACAACATGGCACTTTCGAAGGGCTCCTAGCCGCATTTTCCATGTCGACTTGTCCCAAACCACCCAAGCTCGGGTTTTGGATGGATGTTGACCTGAACTTGGGGCAAGTTCGCATCGCAGGAGCTAGAGGTGTGCTGCACCTCGTCTCAGAAAACGTCGGCCAGGTTGTTCTGCCAGCCATGGGTCAGGTGAGCGGTTGCTTCTCTTGGCCAAGGGAAATTCTTTCGCTTTACTCTTTTTTTTGGGGGGATGAGTCACCGAATATATCATTGGTTCATTTGGGGACAAACAGGCTTAATTACAGCTCGGGCTCCAATGGATCCATGGGAAAAGCATTTAACTCTACTTCAGGAAACAAACCATTTCTTTCGGCGTTTCCGAGTTTCCAACGTAATTCACACAAGCACACTCTATTTCAGAAAACACCCATCTATTGCGTTGTTTTTTTTTGGGGGGGGGGGGATTGGAGCAGAATACGGTTGCTCACCGGAAGCAAATGGACCTGGATTCAATACGTGTTCTTTCGTTCTGGGATCACTTACGTAAAATCGAAGACTGCCAGCGCTTAAACACATGGTTTAATCGCCAGGTTTGAATGGATCCCCCATGAACTGAAGCTGGTGTCCAATAGGCTCCAAGTAGGCTCCAGTGGCAAGGTCCCATGTGGGTTTCCCCTTTTTTTCTCCCGGGTAGGGTTCACAGGAAAACCTACGTACGAAAGTCAGCCATCTCAATAGGCCTCCTATTTATTGGATGCATCCCTAAATATGCCATGCTGACTCGGGGAAAAAAACGTCCTTAAAGAATCTTGATTTTGGGAACCACCAACTTATTTAGGTGTTGTTGGATTCAAGCAAACAAACAAACGAGTAGACAAACAAGCAAACAAAACATAAGCAAAACACACAATTTTGAGAGATTCAAACAAAGCTTAGGTTCTTTTCAAACCTTTTCAGGACGCCAAAAGAGCTCTTATTTTCAGAGTCGCCCGGTTTGCTAGGCGATTCAGCAAGACCGTCTCAGGTAGTTTGAGGGAGTTCAAAGTACACACATGACCAATTTTAGGGAATGCTGGGGCTTAATTGTAACCCCAGATTAATCAACCCCAGTTTATTAGTTTGGGTGGTGTTCCCCTCGAAAGTGATGAATCCCCACTAAACCAGTGACCCCCCCCTATTAACAAGCAGGGGTTGATGAATCCGGGGTCAACATTCTAGGGGTAACTTCCCCATTCTTTCCAGGGATCCTTCTTGCTAGAATCCCACCAAAAACCCTGGGGAAATGGATCCGGTTCTTGAAAAGAACGACTGAAAAGAATGGAAAAGGAAGCAACCCCTAGAACAAGTGGACAACATCCAAAGGACCCCTAGAAACTTTCGGGACGGAGGCATTTGCCTGGACTCCCTGTGCGCGCAGCCGGTGGTGGCCCTACTGGCCAGCGAAGCTGGCCCTTGCTGCCGCTTGGAGCGGCGGAAATGTTTTGGTCTCAGTGTGCCGCTCAACTCAGTTGTTCAGTGGCACCCTTTCTCCCCTTTGTTTTGGTGGCTCGCCCACTAAAAATGGTCTTCCCCAAAAAGGGTTCCCTTCTTTCCAGGGTCACTGAACAACTGAGTCAAGGTGTTGCAAAGCTTCCATGGCTGTTCAACCAACGTGAGGTGGGTTGTACCTATGCGATTCTTGGGTAACTGGGCTGATCGGCCACTTAAAACCATGGATATGAGCTTGAATTTGTCAGAACTGGACAATTTTTCTCATTGCTTCCGGGGGGCGACACAGCAAATGGAAGAAAGGAGGGGGTTCCCTTGAAAAACAGGCCACGGCACAGTTCTTTGGCACCTTTGGAGGGGCCTTGCTTGAGGGACATTGACCAGAGATCAAGAAAACCAAGCTGCTTAACCAACCAACCAACCAACCAACCAACCAACCAACCAACCAATTCCTGAGGTGCGTTTCGGACTTTGGGTCACTTTTTTTGGGGGGGGGGTTGGACCGGTCTCGCGGTAAACTAAACAAGTTCCTGGACTTGATTGGCCACTCAGGAAGTGAGCCGTTCCTTCTCAAAAATCATTGGGACCTGTTTGCTATAAGGAAGCCGGCCAGGCAATTGGAATTGGGTGGTGAGGTGCTGAAGCACATTGAGCCACGGATTATGAGCAAATCATGTGCGTAATTGTTCAGCTTCTGATGTTGCGCTGCGTTTCACCTTGTGGGTTGAGCCATCACCTGGCGACTGTTCTCAAACCACTCCCCGCAGATGTGGTGCATGCCCCCTACTGGTTTCACACAAGCAGTTGTTTTCCAGAGGTGGTTCGGGGATAATTTTGAGCGCGGAGTAATGAAATCCTGGTTGAGTACTAGGAGGTGTCCCATTTGTGAGGAGAACCTTCAGTTTTGGGGAACGTTTGCACCCTCGAACAATCCACTGGGTTGATTAATCCACTGAATTTCAGTCAGCCGCAAGCCAAGAAAATTTGGTCGGACTCGCAGGGGCTCTTGTTCCCAACTGCCAGGATTCAAGTGCTGCCAACCTGATGCACTGACTGAGCGGGGCTCACTGGAGTAATCAGGCTGCGGTCCGATGTTGTGCAGAACATTTGCGAGTTCTGGCAAGTGTGTAGGGTGTTTTTTCGGGAAGGGTTTGCGCCCTGAGCAACCACGCCCCAACTGGGCGTGTCCAAGGGGTCAGGGTGAGAAGGACCCAAGCACCATGAGGAAAAGGGTGGATCGGGTCCTGTGGCAAAGGGAATATGTTTGCAAAAGTGTGGCAATCCCCTTTGAAGTGGTAAAATTATCCCAAGGATGACTCTCCCACTTTGATATTGCGAGTTGTTTTTCCACAGCCGGACACTGAAGAGTTGATGACCGTTGCTTCAGAGTTCTTATGCCGAGGCCCCCACTATATGCATGCGGCCTGCGCCGAGCGGTTGAGACCCAGGCCGGACAAATGCATTGTATGCTGTCAGAAGTCCCAACCTGTCCCACAGGTATGTTTACCTACGTGCTACATAGCTCACGATTACTTCTTTTCCCAAGATCCCCTAGTTGCCTAACAGGGG